GTCAAAAGGGTGAGGTATGGAATTCGAATCAACCTCAATTTCAGATTCTGTATGCATATTTTTGTGGGAACATTGTCTCGATGTTCTTGTTAAGCTTATTAGGATTGGTAGTTTCACTAGTAGAAGAATTACGAAACCTTATTTTGTGGAAAGAAAGTGTTTTTAGGTGTGGATGTTATTGAGCTGTTCTTGTTTAGCTAATTTCACTAGTAGAAGATTTACAAAATCTTGTTTTTCGGGAAAGAAATTGTTTTAAGAATGGATGTATCAATGAACTGTTTAGTAATCAGTGTATCCAATGAACTGTTTTCCATGTATGCAGGTGTCTTGTATACTAAGTTCCCCATTTGTTTTGTAGATAGCATGTAGAGATTTCCCTCATCCTCGACATTCATGCGCTAAGTACGCATTCAATACAACTTCACATGACAAGTATTGCGACATGGTAAGCATGTAATCCTTAATCCTCCATAGAGATTTAATGGATTCCTTAGACACTAATACTTTTTTCTTTATTTTCGTTTTGCTTCAATTTCAAGTGTCACTGTTATGTGTGTGACATCCCTGCTCCATGTCCATACTGGTGTATCGGGATCTCCAGCGTAAATCATTGTCATGCTAATGATAAAGAGAAGATATGGAAGAATCAACGCGAATATTTCAGGACCGGAAATATGCCCACAACCCCACCATCTTCAAAACCTACTATGCCCCTTCCAGCTTCTGTGACAGTGACCCACCAGTTTTCACGGTCTACTACTCAAAGTATCGTAAGGTTATCCCAAAACTCTTTGACACGGAACCAAGTTGGTATCCGGCCTTGCTCATCATCTGGCCGTGTTGCTAATCACTCAAACGTCAGAGCCAGGTCTAGTAGAGTCAAGCAATCGATTTCACTCAGTCACAATCATGGGTTGCAGAATCGACAGGTGCAGTCATTGAGCAGTGTTCGAAACAATGTCATCCAAAAGGATAGAAGTTCTTATATGGGTAACCTAAGGCCCCGAGTGGCCTCTTCAGGAGCTCGGCATGGTGCGACACATGGTAACAACATCAAGGTGGGTCTATATGCCAATGCTCAAGTTTCACAATCCACTCACCATAGCTCTTCCATTGTGGCACCGATGATAAACCCGGCAATGTTCACTCAGCAACAGCCCAATGTTACTGATCATTGCTCAGCGGTGACGGGGTCTCAGAGCAATGTGTACACTAGACATTCAGGCCATAACAAAAGCAGCAGTGGAAATCGCCAGTTTCAGGCAAATGCAGGTCTGCTTACTCCATCTGAAACTCCTCTTACCTCTGCGAATTCGCAAGCGCACACGGTTCAACAACAACCGGGAACTAATGAAAACGTCTTGCAGACCAAACTGGTGGAATTTGAGAGCTGGCTCATGGACAGCTCTAACCATATCGGCCCTGTTTGCCCGTTGCCTGAACCAGTAAGTCAAGACTATGTTAGTTCCATGACATTCGATTTCGAAACCTTCTTGAATGATTGAAACTTCACTGTAGTTTGTATCTTATCGTCGTAATTTGGAACTTTTATCATTGTAGAGTGAGTGTAGGTGCTTGCAGTTACGTTGGTGTATTATATAATTTAGTAGCTGTTATCACTGATTCACTATTTGTTCACTTAATGTGTTTGCAGATCATCAGAAAATTAAAGTAAAAGATTTTACCTTCTTGTGTAAGGAAACAAATATATTAGTTGACGAAAAATAACTTGTTTATCCTTGCAAACAAATTAAACTGTTATGTTTGAATTTAACAATCTATAGTTTAAATTTTCCTTACAAATTAAACTGTTATCCTTGCTCATTTTTCTCAATCTATAGTTTAAATTTTCTTTGTTGAATCATTTTTAATATTCAATTTGTCATTTTAGAAACTCAAAACTAGTGGTGATATTTTGGATTAACGCACTTATTCAATCCAAAAATTTTAAAATGAGAAATAAATGTACACCAACCATCTTGGTGGAACACGAATAACCATCTTGGTTTGGTCTAGTTATAAATTAGATTTGGAATTGGTTCATACCATACTTAAATTCGGTTTACCTAAACCGGGTTTGAGAAAATTCCAGCAAGGCCCATGGATAAGTTATAAAGCCCAATAACGCTTTTAGAGAAGTTCCTACGACTAGTCGACTAACGCCCAAAAAAGAAACGGTTTCGTCGATGTGACGGTGGCAAACGGCCACCAAATTTGTCGTTTCAAAGAGCGTATAAACCACGCGCATTCATAAGAGCGCGTGGGTGTATAGCTTAATTGCTTCATCATCGTTTTTTTTTTTTCTTCGAAAGCAGTCTCACTACGGCAACACACTACCCTACGCCCTTCCCACCATCAAGCATTAAAG